AAAGTATTTAGAATATTATATGAACTTAGCTTAAAGCAGCAACAGGGGTTGAGAGGATTGACTCCAGTTTTGAAAGAAATTTTACTGTGGGTGAAATACTATCAGATAGCTTGTGAAAGGAAGAGTTGATCAGTGTGGCAAACTTCACTGTTGTCTTATTTTAAGAAACTGCCACAGCTGCCCCAACCTTCAGCAACTACCACCCTGAGCAGTCAGCAGCCATGAACTTTGAGGTAAGACCCTCCACCAGCAAAAAGATTATGAATTTCTGAAAGCTCATATGATGGTTAGCATTTTTTAGCAATATTTTTTAAAATTAAGGTGTGTACATTGTTTTAGGGATAATGCTTTTGCACACTTAATAAACTATATCATAGTGTAAACGTAACTTTTGTATGCACTGAGAAACCAAAAAAAAAAAATCATTTGACTCCCTTTACTGCAATATTTGCTTTATTATGGTGGTGGTCTGAAACTAAACAAAGTATCTCTGAGGTATACTTGTACAAGACTAACAGAAAACAACACTGTAGCAATAGTAAATCTTCCCTATCAATAATAACTTTAAATGTAAATAGATTAAACTCCCCCATCAAAAGACATAAAGTGGTTGAATGGATAAAAAAAGAAAAATAAGACTCAACTATGCCCTGTCTACAAGAAACTCACTTTAGATTTAAGGACACATAGAGGCTGAAAGTGAAGTGATGGAAAAAGATATTTGATGCAATTGGTAACCAAAGGAGAACAGGAATGGTTGCGCTGATATCAGACAGAATAGAACTTAAGTAAAAACGTCACAACAAAAAAGGACATTATATAATGATAAAAGTGTCAATTGACCAGGAAGATAGAACAATTATATCTGTGTGTGTATCCAACATCAGAGTGCCTAAATATATAAAGTTAACATTGACAAAACAAAACAGAAAATACATATGGCAATACAGTAGGAACCTTTAATACCTCATTTTAAATAATGGATGGAAGATCAATAAAGAAATGGAGAACTCGAACAATACGATAAAGCAAATGAACCTAAGAGCATACATAGAACATTCTACCTAACAACAGCAAAATACACATTTCTTTTAAGTCTACACATATCTTTCTCCAAGATATATCAGATGTTAGGTCACAAGATAAATCTTAACAAATTAAGGAGGACTGAAATCATACCAAGTACCTTTTCTCCCCAAGATAGAATGAAACCAGGAATCGACAGCAAAAGGAAAAGTGGAAAATTCACAAATACGTGAAAATTAAACAACACATTCTTAAACAACAATGGGTCAAAGAAGAATTCAAAGAAGTAATTAGAAAAATACCTCAAGACAAACAAAAATGAAAACACAACATACAAAAAGTTATGGAATGCAGAAAAAATAGTATTGAGAGAACTCCACAGCACCTACATTAAAAAAAAGAGGAAAGATCTCAAATAAACCATCTCACTTTACATGCCAGTGAGATAGAAAAAGAAAAAAAACTAAGACCAAAGTTAGCAGAAGGAAGGAAATAACAAAAGTCAGAGCAGAAATAATAAATAAAATAGAAAAACAATACAAAACAACCAATAAAACTAAAAGTTGGTTATTTGAAAAATTAAAAAATTAACAAACACTTAGACTAAGAAAAAAGCACACTCAAATAAATTTTAAAAAAGAGACATTATAATTGATGCCACAGAAATAAAAAGGATTGGTCTCAGTCGGTTAAGGATCTGACTCTTGATTTTGGCTCTGGTCATGATCTCAGGGTTGTGAGATCAAGTCCCAAATTGGGCTCAGCACGGAGTCTGCTTGAGATTCTCTCCTTCTGCCCTTCCCACTCCCGGCATGGTGCACCCTTTCTTTCTCTCAATCTCTCTGTCTCACAAAATAAAGAAAGAAAGAAAGAAAGAAGAGAAAGAAAGGAAAAGAAAAAAGAAAAGAGAAAACATCATTAGAGACTACTATGAAAGACTGTTTTTTAGAGACTACTATGCCAACAAACTGGATAACTTAATAAAAATGGGTAAATTACTAGAAATATACAATATACCAAGACTAAATATATAAATATATAAAATAATATAATATACAAAGTGTATATATATATATATATATATATATATATATATATATACAGTATATTTTTTTCACAAGTTTTAGAGATTAGGACCTGGACATCTTCCTTTGAGGGCAGTTATTCTGCCTATCTAGGATATCATTAGGTAAATGGCAAGGAGGTATTAAGGTTGCAAATAGAGTTGTTAATCAGATGACCTTAAAGAGATTATCCTGAATTATCCTGGTTAACCCAATATGATCACAAGGGTCCTTTAAATGTGGAAGAGGGAAGCATAAGAGTCAGTGTTCACCTGACGCCATTTGAGAATTACATGACTGACCACCAGCTTTGCATATGAAAGAGAGACTGGAGGCACAAACTTTGGGCAGCCTCCAGAAGCTGGAAAAGGCAAGGAAATGGATGGTCACCTAGAGCCTCCAGAAAGGAACATAGCCCTGCCAACACCTTGATTTTAATACACTGTGACCCATTTGGGACTTCTGAACTTCAGGACTATAAGATTATTACAGAGCTGTAATAAATTAATTCTTTAAGCCATTAAAGGCACACATGTGCACACACACATATACATATGTGTGTTTGTGTGTCAGTGTCAGCTGGTGATAAATGCTATGAAAAAAATAAATTTGATCAAAGAGTTATGAGTAGGAAAGGGTATTTTATATGCGGTGGTCAAGGATGAGGTAACGTTTAAACAGAAATGTGAATGAAATGAAGGAGCAAAGTATCTGGAAGTAGAACATTCAGAAGGGAAATCAGCAAGTACAAACTTCTCCAAGTCAGAAGTTTGCTCAGCATTTTTGATAAATAGCAAAAGTCCAATATGGCTAACGGCTAATACGGAAAGTGAGTCAGAGGAACCAGCAGGATATGAATGCTACTGATGGTTACAAAAGGGGTCGTTATTCTGATTGTTTTTGAATGGGGAGTGGCAATGAAGGCAAAAGGGGAGGACTTTTACTTTTGCCTTATTATTTATGTTTTTTGATGATGATGCATTACTATTGCCTTGTTAAGAATTTTTATTACAACATAAAGGTACAAGAAATCTGAAGCACAGAAATGACAAGTGTAAACATGAAGAATGTAGCAGGGTTTATATGATGTAGTTGGTTTAGTCCAAAAATTGAGGGAAAGGGGTAAGAAAAAAATCAAACTGTGCTGTTGTTATTTATTTATTTGATTTTTAAAATTTTATTTTATTTAAATTCAATTAATTAAAATATTATGCTGTTATTTTAAGAGGTCTATTATCTATTTGCACTTTGATACATTTCTGAGTTTGCAATACATGTCAATAACAACATGTATAAATGTGTATGCCCATGCACATAAACAAATTTAGGAATCCTATGGTTGCTTGATACTGAATTACTTGGTCTGAAGGTGAATTTTTAAAAATACAGAATGAGGATGATCACTGAATCCCTACCTACCAGAATATTTTGAGGGCACTAATATTATAGAAACCCACAGTTACTATAGAGGTGTGGAGTAGAATTGAGAGCATGGGATTTGGAATCAGACTGCCTAAGTTCAGACCTTGGCTCCACCACCAGCTTTGGGACTGAGAAGGATTCATTTGCCCTCGTTGTATCTTAGTTTTTTCATCTGTAAAAGAGAGATAATAGCATCTGGCGGTGGAATTGTGGTAAGGAACAAATCCACTAAGAAGCATAATGCTAGAACAGTGTCTGGCATATAATATGTGCTCAATAAATGTTAGCTTCTATTGTTATTCTAGCTCTCTGGTCTTGATCATTAGACTGCAATTAACATATTTTATGCATACTAACTTGCAAATATGCTACAAGGGACCATTCTGGAAATTTTAACTGTTTCAGCCAGATTGCTCTCACTCTACTATGTGATCACTGTACTTTGAGATCACTGTAACCCTCAATGTTTAAGAGCAGAAAGAACCGAGCACACCATATTACCTTAGACTTGCATTCACCATTACCTTTTACTTGTGACTGCTATTCTGCTTAAATATTACTCAAATCTTTCATCAGAATAGACTAATCTCTGAAAACAAACATGTTCTCTGGACAAAGTTAAAAGGGACCTTATATAACATTATTGCAACTGAGTCTGATTCCTGTGGTCTTTATTCAGCAATTAAGACTACAACTTTGAGGAAAACACTTAATATATTGGTAAAAGACAGCCATAATTAATTTTTTTTAATTTCTTCAAAAATTCCCTATGGGGTTTTAAAGACTTTGACTTGGGTTTAAGGGTTTTCAATTTCAAGCTGGATGATGTTAGGCAAACTTTTCAATTTTCCTCAGTCTTGGTTTCTTCAACATTGTGCTCAGGGAGTACTTCTTTCTGTCAATGAAAATCCCAATGCAGACTATATCCTTTAATGTCTTACAGTTGTAAGACAAAATCAAGACACAAGATTATTACTTTTACTAACCTGAATTTGAAAAAATTAAATGGCTTTCCTAAGTCAGTAATTAGGTGTTTGGTTCATGTTTTTACTTGTTATTATAAATCTCTTTTCTACCAGCCTCTATTATTTAAATTAATAGAATAACAAATGCTGTTCTTCAAAAGAAAAAAAAATTAATAGGTCAAGACCACAAAGTCATAAAACTAATGAATCTGCTCTCCCTATAGGTCAATTCCAAGATTTTTTATGTATTATTCATTATACAGTGACTTATTTTAATGAAATTAATAAGTATCTTTTGGTCCATCAAGAACCAAAGAGAAGATATCAAAAGATTTCTAAATTTTTTAACATTAGTAAGCTCTTAGCCATCAGAATTATCACCAAAGAAATTCCTTTTTCAGATTTAAAGACTTATTTAAATCAAGATATAGATCATTGTTATATTGTTCTTTTCCAAAACTGGTTGTTTAAAAAAAAAAAACCCTCCACTTATTTTAGTTTGGAAACATGAAACTATTCCTACCTTGAATCCATTGCAGCATCTCGTTTCCCTTTCCTTTGGAGGTGTTGCTTCTGCTGTCTTTTTCAAATGTTGATTTGAGTCCATCATGGAACTACCGATAGCGTGTGAGTGTTTCCAATTGTTGTTGTTTGGTTTGAAATGATCACCTATTCAGGGAGAAAAAGGAGAACTTATCTCACTTTAACAATATATGATTCAAAAATAAGAAAAGCCGCAAGGTTGCCCTCAATTAATCAATAAACCCACTAATACTCATTCAGGATCTTTGATGTCCTTAGCACAAGACTAGGTAAATGCTAGACACAAAAGGAGGGCAAACACACACACACACACACACACACACACACACACACACACACACAGTGCTAGCTTTAGGGGATTATATTTTAATTAGGAAGATAGATTTATGAAGAGAATTTGAGACAAGTAAATAACATAGAGTCACATACTAGATAAGAATTTTAAATCACAAAAATTTTAAATGTTTTACGTATCTACATTATAAAATTTAGGAAAGCAAATATATGTTTAATTCATCTTTATACTTTTACAAGGTGCTGAAGAGTGCCTTGCACATAGTAGACAGTCAAAATGGGTAGAAAAACAATGTAATGAATTATAATTACAGTGGCTGAGCCCAGAAGATTTCGTGGAAGAGATATCTCGAGAACCAGGTTTGAAATGCAGGTCGAGTTTGGATTTGCTAAAGAGAGCAAAGCATACTCTAAGTACCTCTCAGACAGACTCTAGCCATACTTGACCTTACCACCATCACGATCCTACTTTATTTTAATTTTGTTCATTTATTTTTGAAGAGAAAATGTATGCAGTTGAATATATGTAAAATATATGTAGTTGAAAGTACAAAATACCAAAAAGACATATCTTAAAGATTCTTCCTCTAGCCCTTGTCCACCCAGCATCCAGTTTCTTATTCTGAGGACTAATATCAGTTTTCAGTGACTATGATCCAGAAATATGATACGTATTTTTAGTTAAATACATAATAGTTTCCTTTTTTAAAAAAAAGATTTTATTTATTTATTTGACAGAGAAAGACACAGCGAGAGAAGGAACACAAGCAGGGGGAGTGGGAGAGGGGGAAGCAGGCTTCCTGCCGAGCAGGGAGCCCGATGCGGGGCTTGATCCCAGGACCCTGGGATCATAACCTGAGCCGAAGGCAGACGCTTAATGACTGAGCCACTCAGGCGTCCCTAATAGTTTCCTTTTTTAACACAAATGGCAGCATACCGTTAATACTGCTCTCTACCTTTTTATGCTACTTTATATACTTTATATTAATAAATGACTTCCTCAGTTTTCTTATGGTTGTAGTTTATCCTATTATTCATAATATATATAGCTAGTTACATGTTGATAAACATTTAGGTTGTATCTAAGTATTTCGTATTAGAACATTTTCTTAATATGTCATTTTGTTTATGTGTGATACTATCTGTAGGACAAATTCTTACAAGTGGAGTTTTGAGGTCAAAATGCAAGAGAAATTATAATTTTGTAAGTTATTAAGCCTCTGTTTAATTTTTAATTTTTATTTTTTTAGGTTTTTATTCAAATTACAGTTAGTTAACATACAGTGTAATATTAATGTCAGGTGTACAACATAGTGATTTAACATTTCCATACAACATCCGGTGCTCATCACAAGTGCCTTCCTTAACCCCCATCACCTATTTAACCCTTCCCCCCACCCGCCTCCCCTCTGGTAACCACCAGTTTGTTCTCTATAGTTAAGAGTCTGTTTCTTGGTTTGCCTCTCTCTCTCTCTCTGTTTTTTCCCTTTGCTCATTTGTTTTGTTTTGTTTTGTTTTTTTAAAGATTTTATTTATTTATTTGAGAGAGAGAGAGAGAATGAGAGATAGAAAGCACAAGAGGGAAGAGGGTCAGAGGAAGAAGCAGACTCCCTGCTGAGCAGGGAGCCCGATGTGGGACTCGATCCCGGGACTCCAGGATCATGACCTGAGCCAAAGGCAGTCGCCCAACCAACTGAGCCACCCAGGCGCCCTGTTTTGTTTCTTAAATTCCACATATGAGTGAAATGATATGGTATTTGTCTTTCTCTGACTGACTTATTTCATTAAGCCTCTGTTTTAAAAGACTAGTAAAATGAGCAATTTTTTCCTTAGATTTGTTCTTTCATATAGAATAGTGGGTTCTTTTTTTTTAAAAAAAAGATTTTATTTATTTATTTGAGAGAGAGAGAAAGCACGAGAGGGAAGAGGGTCAGAGGGAGAAGCAGACTCCCGGCTGAGCAGGGAGCCCGATGTGGGACTCAATCCTGGGACTCCAGGATCATGACCTGAGCCGAAGGCAGTCGTTTAACCAACTGAGCCACCCAGGCGCCCTAGAATAGTGGGTTTTTCACTGAGGTTTATAAAATGTATTCTTATTCATACATATCTGCATAACACATACTTATGTATCTAAGATATTTATATACAGACACACACACAAGCATAGATAGGTGATAATTAACAGGGCTGTATAATTACAGTTGATTCTTATTATTTGCAGTACTTGTGTTCTATAAAGTTGCTGCAAACAATTGGCGAAATCTGAACATGCGTCTTAGGGGAAATACAGAATTAGGTTCCGGGATATCTCTGGCCACAGTATTTTCATCAACCAATCAATTTATAACCTTGTTTCATGTGTGCTTCTGTTTAAAGACGTCTAATTTAAATATATTGTTGATCCATTAAAATTTGTGACCAACAGCGCTGTACAGCTCATCCCTGAAGGAAGCATCTGGAGCTCATATATTCTTTCCATCGTGCGCATCACAGCCTTCGTGCACTCTGGGACACTGGCCAGCACTTTACACTATGCTTGGGAGCTGTACAAACAGCAAAATCATCCAAAAAAGCACAAAAATAAAAAAAATATGACACTAAATAGACTGTAAAAAGATCGCTTGTTTATAATATGAGAGCTAAAACAAGGAGGCAGAGCCACATTTTATCTGACCTCAACTGGGACCATGTGTGATGGACAATTCTGATTTTTTGTCACTCTGTACAGGCATACGAATGACCACAAAAGAGCAGCCTTGATTTTGGGGTTACAAATAAACATTAGTGAGAAGGCACATTCACAAATACTGAATCCATGAATAATGAGGATCAACTATATATTTTATGTGTTAATTTATTCAATAAGGATTGAGTCCCTATGTTATAAACATATAAAGACCATGAATATATATAATGCCAATTTAATGGATGATGTAGAATCCAGAAATTATAAATGTCTAAAGATATTATCACTTGTGTATATAAACATACGCATCAATGCAAAAATCCACATCTATGTACATCTAAGTAAATCCCAGTTATTCCACTTTTTTGCACGGTCTCCAAACGTGCCTGCACCTATTCAGTTACTGAGTGGAGTGGAGTGAGGAAAAAATCACTAGTTGGGTGGTCCCAACATCATAAGCAGTCCTTTGATAAATTTCAAGTTATTTATTTCATGAATACCTCTTTCTGTATCTTTCCCCAGAATTTAAATGTTAGAAAGTCATTTTTTACCACTTAATTCTATTCATGCAAATCTCTCCGAATGATTGACATGGTGTGCATATGCCCTTTAGCTTAGTTTTGTTTGTTTGGTTGGTTTTGTTTTTTGGCTACTGAACAAGAACTCTTGAAGGCCATTACCTGACCAGTCTAGTCCTGTTTACTGCAATTGATTAAATGTCAATTATCCTTTCAGCCTTCTTCCTGTTTTATATCTATCATATCCACCTTCAGAATCTTTCAGAGGTCCCCAGTAGCGTACAAAATAAAATTCACATTTCCTATTCGAGATCCTTTACGAACCAAGCCCAGCCCTTGTTATTAGTCTTATTTCCCAACACACCCATAAGCTCCTTCAGCTGTGTGGAATCAACTGTCCCTAGAATACTCTGCCCTTTTGTATGTCCTTAACCTATAATGTTCCTCCTCATCTCTTGGTTGTAATTCTGCCCCAGATCACCCTTCTTAGATATTTCCCCAGTTACTCCCAGTTGAAAAAAAAAAAACCTCTCCACACTGTTGCTCCACTAGAGAATATAACTTGCAACATAGTCATTAATTTTCCCGATTATTTCCACTACTTTCCCAGACAGGTTACTATTCCACATCTCTCTCCTAGATATTGAGAAAAAATATGCTGACAAAAAGTGGGAAATGTGGGCACTTTCCCCCCTCATTTCTGAGAAAGGCTAAATTGTAATAAGTGACTCCAGAGTAATTACAAGGTTGGAATATCAATTTAGGTTTGGCTCTGAACACCACACTTTCTACTTCATCATGACGTTTTAAGCCTGACTCGGAGAATTTAACTTATTTTTCTCTGGATGTATTTTTTTTTTCTCAGAGTCCCAAAAAACTGACATTTAAATGAATTTTGGGGACACAATATGTTTATAAAACAGGACCACAGGCATTCAGACATAGCACTGCAATTCTTCCTTCAACAGAACAGCCCAGTTCTGCTTAGTTTCATGGGGCTGGAGAGGGAGCCAAATTCTCACCAGCCTCTCTTTACCTGTGTCAAGCTTTTACTGTTTGAGAGACCATAGAAAAGCCGTGCAAGCCAGGTGACCCAATTTGTACTGGGTCCCTCTACATGAAACCAGGAGGGAAAAAGAGAAAACAAATTTACTTACTTTTTAGACCTTTTATGGGAGGACTTACCCCATTTTCTACCTCCCTTTGACAATAACAATTGTCTTACAAGGGTAGCCACCTTCCTGAATTGGAGAAGGGAACTAATATTTATTGAATTCTTAGTTTGTGCCAGGAACCATGCTGAGCAATTTTTTTTTTCTCATTCAAAGACAGAATTATCTAGAAAACTTCTTTCTTTTTCCTCACCTTGAGTCAGTCCAATGAGTTGAAACAGGAAAGTAGAGGTGGGTAAGTGACTTTGAGACACATCTCATTTCCTGATGTTTGCTAACTAACTCTCTACCCCATATTATCCAATTAAAATGGAATAAAAAAAATAGGGAATAAATCTAACTATTCTATGTAGTTAGTGAAAATAATGGCCTTGTGATACATTTTGAGAAGGTGGCCAGAGATCCATTTTTTTAAACTTGAAGTTCCAGTTATCTAGAAAGTAATAGGAATGGGGTTTCAAACTTTATTTTTAAATTTGAATGTCTTATTTTCTGTATTTTTAAGAGTATATAAACCTGAGGCTCATCTGTCTCCAGAAGGAATACTTAATGAGCTTTAAGGGCTTACACATACGTGTGTAGAAGACACAAAGCATAAAATGTGTAAAATTTATCATATCCATCAAAACATTTTTCACCTTGAAATCTATGGCAGCTTCTCACATAGAAGAAACCCTGAAATTAGAGAATGTCAAAGGTTCTTACCTGGACTTAGAATCCCACAGCAGTAGCTACAAGTCCATCCTTTATCTGTTGTTAAAGCCTCTCTTTAAATAGTTAGCTGGCCTTTTTTTTTTTTTTTTTTCATCAGTTCAATGATGATTAACCATCTTATTAGGTCATTGTCCTAGTCAGATAGAAGAAAATTAACTAGCTATTCTAACAGTCTGTTCCAGACTCTGGTATTTTAAAGGTTATTATATATTTTGTGCCGGTCTCAGTCTGTTAATAACCAATGCTACAATTGGACCCCTCTGGGTGGTTCTTATTATGATTTCAAGATGCCCTTCAGCAATAACCATCAGGGAACTTTGAAAAAAATAAAGATTTATTGCTTATAGGACCTGGAATTTACACAGCGTACATGGGGCCACACAGCAAGGTCATGGGTAGAAGGACAGAGTACAATGCTTGGGGCTCTACTTTTATTGGGGTTGAGGTTAGGGGCCTAGGGTTTTACCGGGTCACTCTCACTGATGAATTTAAAACATAAGAGTCAAAACGTAAACCTCAGGAAAAGAAAAACAAAAATGACCCGAATGGTCAGTTATTGAAGTCAACCAAGATTGCTAAAACAAAGATGCCTCAATGCTGGGGGCAGTGGCCTGGCTCCTTATCTATAGTCAGTGGCTGGCAGTGTATTTATTTGAGATAGCCCTCTTTGAAATGAATGCTTTGACAATTGAAGCTTAAGACAGACACGTGCATTACAAAAAAGAAAAAAAAAGAGTTTACGCTACATTATATTAATAATTTCTCAGAATTTATCAATTATTTTTATGTAGAAGTTTAATTATTAAGCTTTGTTTCTGAGAATAACATATTTGCTTGAGTTGGTTGCATAATATTTTTTCCTTCAAAATTACAACAGATTATCCAAGATATTTATTTATTTATTTATTTAATCCAAGATATTTAAAACTCCTCCAAATAGAAAAGAATTCAAAACAGTTTTTAAAATGTGTCTACAGGTTCCTTTAGCATTTAAGATAAAATATGTTCTTTTTGGGGGTGCCTGGGTGGCTCAGTCGGTTAAGCATCTGCCTTCGGCTCGGGTCCCTGAGTCCGGGCTCCCTGCTCAACGGGGAGGCTGCTTCTCCCTCTCCCTCTGCTGCTCCCCCTGCTTATGCTCTTTCTTTCTCTCTGTCAAACAAATAAAATCTTAAAAAAAAGTATTCTTTTTGCTTGACAGTTTGGTGCAATTCTAATATGGCATTGATGAATACTGGCTATTATATAGAGAACACTGTATGTATGTGTGTATATGTATATACACATGCACACACTTGCACACATACACATGCACGCACATGCACACACATACACACATATACACGTGCACACACATACACATGCACACACTTGCACACATATACACATGCACACACATACACACATATACATGCACACACATACACATGCACACACATACACATGCACACATATACACGTGCACATACATGCACACACATGCACACACATACACATGCACACACATGCATATATAGCAATGTGAGGATGCATATATGAAAACATTATCCCTTAATCACTTTTTTTTTAGGTTTTATTTATTTACTTACTTATTTATTTATTTATTTATTTATTTTGAGAGAGAGAGAGAGAGAGCACGAGTGCATGAGTTGGGGGAGGAGGGGGAGAAGGAGAGAGAATCAAGTAGGCTCCATGCTCAGCACAGAACCCAATGCAGGGCTCAACCTCACGACCCTGAGATCACGACCTGAGCTGAAATCAAGAGTCTGACACTTAACCGAGTGAGCCACCCAGGTGCCCCAACCTTAATCTCTTCTGTAAGACAATTGTTTGTACAGCTGTAGCAATATGTATTTAAGTTCTATATCACAGTTATCTGATATATTTGTTCTGTCCTTGTTTATTCTTGGAAGTATTGGAATCATGGGAAGAACCAGAGATTGTGGAGAGGTAGAAGGGGTTGGGAAATCCCTAAGGAAATTCCCCAAGGAAGGGGAACTGGAAAATGTAGACCTGAGGCAAAGAAAATTAAGGTCTGGGCTCCCAGATAGTCTCTTGCTGAATCAGAATCTATAGAAGGCCAGTATGCATCCCCCACACACCCCACTACCCCATCTCAAATATCCCCACAAGAGATTCTGATTCAGCCGACTAAAGATTATGTGGGTTTTTTTTTTTTAAATAAGCACTTTGGTTAATTTTTTATTGAACTCCAGATTCTGAGAACCATTACAGCAGAACTAGAGAACACTGTCAGGACATTATGGCTTTCCCTATTATTCAGAGTGGAAATCTGGCTTAGGTGCTCCCACATTAGTGATTTTCTTTTCAAATTTCCATTCCACCCAAGGTTCCTCCCAAAACTTTGTTTTGGGATAGTTATATAAAAAGAATGAAGGTAAAACAGAACAAATTAACTGAGAACATTTCTAATCCCTAACCTAAAACCTTCTGGTGAAATCCTAAAGTGTTTCCAGAGGTCAAAAAGCATTCTCTGTGTTCTTCCTTCCACATGATGGTTTAACTATTAATTAGACTATTTTTGTTAAACTTGTGGAGAAATAAGGTGGTCAGAAGAAAAATGTTAAAATAGTTCTTTCAAGATCCATATTATGGTAACATCCATGGGTCAAGAAAATTGTAAAATTTGCTAAAAATAATCTAGTGATACTTATTTCAGAGATAATTGTTACAGTTCTGATGACATATCATGGTCTTGAAATCTGATAAACCTCAATGCCAGCTTGTCTCTGCTACTTGCTAACAGTATGAACTTAAAGTTATTTAAACTTTCTAAGGATCAATATCCTCATCTATAAAGCACAAAGACAATACTTGGAGTAAGGATTAAATAATGTATATAAAGTGCTTTACAGGACCTGACATCATAGTTCAGTATCTACTGCCTAATAGGATTCATTGTATGACATTTGTGTATTATAAATATTTAAAGCCATTAATTAATATCAAATTAGTAAAAATTACATCTTAAGACATATGCCTGCCAGTTTTTTCTGACAGTTTTTATTGCCAGAGTTCTCAGGTGGGTGCTATGAGCATGCTTCCAGAGGAAGCCTTCAGGCTCAAAGCAAATATGCTGCCACCTGTCTACCCCACTTTCCTTGACAGCGGAGGCTAGGTACTCCTGGAAAGAACCCAACATTTCTCTACTTACTGATGCTAAAGGCCTGGCATCATCATGATTAATCTCATCATAACCATTATCTCTGTTATGTTAGGCACCACCATGAGAAGAAAGGGATTTCCTGATTACTCTCATCACCTCCTGTCTAATCCCCTTTTGGCTCTGCACATCCCTGTTTTTGCCTCTCCCAATTCTGAACTGAGACCCTTCTCTTGAGCCTCTTGGAACTCAGTGGTTAATCACAAGTAGAGTTCCCTTTACTTCAGCCTCTTCTCTGAATTTTTTGTTGTTGTTGTTCATCTCTTGCTCTAAATTAAACCTGGCCCCTTCCCTGAAGGCTGCTTCTCCTGCTGCTGTGATCAATGGGGGCTGCACTGTTCTCCATTTTGCTCCCTACCCGATGGAATGAGTTTTCGAGTTGCCTTATGTTGCTACTTCTTTTCTGTGTTGATACCTGCTTCCCTCAGAATCTATATTTTTGAAGCTCATATCAGTGGAATTATCTACCAATCCTCAAGTCACTCCCCCTTATTCTATGGCCATTTTAGTTTTTGGTTCAAAGCCAGTCTCTTAAAATATTAATGTTGTTATAATAACTGGTGATTTCAATGATTGTAAAGATAATCCTTTTAGTGCTCTGGCTTCTTGGTTTTTTAACCTTCTCTTGTCCAGTGATCTTTCTTCTATTTAGTGGCTACACCCTAGACCTTGTCACATGAAAAACTGCAACCTCCCGGTGAGATCAGTTTCGAGGACTGGTTTACCACTGTCCATCTTTCCAGCATATTCTCTGTAACACCCCAGGTGCAACAATGTTTCACTAATCAGGATCTGTATAATCTACTCGTTGATTCTGCCACAGATTTCACTGCTCCTTGTTTCCTGTCCTCATTTCCCTGCACATCTGGGTTAAATTTAGTGGTCACGGTAATCACTTTTTTCCCACATATCTTCAAGTCATTAGTAACTTTTGTATCATTTTAATTGCTTGGCAAAACTACAACCTTGATGAACCCCAACTCGCAGACTACCCTGTTCATTCATCCATTCTACTTAATGGGGTTGAAGAAAACCCTCAACATGTTGACTTTAAATTTATGATTAAGAAACTCAAATGAGCCTTTCATTTTGCATAGGTATTATGCTAGATTTTCCTAATTCATGTCACCTGACTATTTTATAACTTCATATCTCTCCTCAAAACTCTAATATCCTCTCCTATCTTTACCTTCTGATGATGACTATTTCACTGACAGAAAATGAAGAACAAAACTTCCAAAACCTCCTTCTGTCACATTTATCTACCTATAGCATCAGTACCACATATTTTGCCTTGATGAACTGTCCATGCTAAAGCTAAGACCATCCTCCATTTGTGCACACAGATTGTCTCTCTCCTTGTGTTCCCAAGGGTATCAATTTTCCTTCTCTAAAGAAATGTTCCCATCAGCTTATATACATGTTCTCACTTTCCCACCTTCAAAAATCCCTCTTTTGATCCCATTCCAAGTATTGTCCTATTTCTATACTATTTTTATTTAAAAAACCCAAAAAAACAAAACCAAAAACTTCTCAAAAGTCTTATCTAGAATATTGTTTTCTATTCATTTTCTCACATTCTTTCTTGAGTACACTCAATCAAGTTTATACCCCCAACTCCATTCAAACTACTCTTGCCTAAGTCATAAATTACCTAAATGCGGTAATGTAATGGCCTTTATCTGACTTGAACTGTTAGCCATTTTTCAGAGCTGAATATTCCCTTCTCCTGGAAATAGTTTTCAGGACACTATCCTTTGTGGTTAACTCATTGGTTATTCCATTTCCATCTCATTTATTAAATATTTTATATATCTTTGGTCTCTTAATGGGAATGTTTCAG